TCACAGGGCCCGGCCCGCGCGTCTCCCCTCAGCCTCAGCGGCCACCGACCCCGGCGCGGCCGCCATCTTTGTTTTCGCTGTGCGGGGCGCCCCCCTTCCGCCGCCACCGCCCCCTCCGTCCTCCCGGTCACGTGAATGCGCGCGTGGCCAATGGAAGCGCGGCTCGGCGCGGCGGCCGGGGCCAATGGGCGCGTGAGGCCACCTGAGTGCCCGCCCCTGCAGCTGGTGGGCAGGAAGGGAGCGGGCCCGCGGCGGCCACGGCAGGGAGTGAAACTGTGGCAGGGAAGCCCTCGCGGAGGTCGCATCCGCCTGACCAGCGGGGCGGAAGGCAGTCCCGAGCCCTGAACGTCTCGGTGGAACTGCGCCTTTGTGCCCAGGACTTGGGTTTGCGGACGGGGGGCTCTGGTCTGGCTCGCCGGATTGGATGGGCCCGAGCGAGCAAACCAGTCCGGCACCCAGTCCTGTCGCGGGACCGGATGTGCTTCCAAGAGACGCCAGCAGGGGCACTGCCTCCGGGGAACCCACTGCTCTGGCAAAACCAGTTTCCTGACTCTAGGGGCAGCGCTGAAAAAGCGTCCGCAGGGAAAAGTGAGGGTCTTGGCTGGCACAGGCCTCCGAGCAGGCTGAGGGCGAATACCTAGAGACCCAGGGAGGGGATGTGGGTTTCTGGGAACAGCTGTGATACATGCCTCCCCTGCCCCCACCCCACCCGCAGCCCGTGAAGGTCACGGCCCAGAGGGCCACCTGCCAGACTGTGCAAGGATATCTGGAGCTCCACCGTGTCTCAACAGAGCAAGAGCCCAGAACTATGTCCTCTCAGCCAGGGGCCCTCCTGACAGATGTCAGCAGGAGGCCAGGGTGGATAAAGCCCGCCCTGTGCTGGTCGCAGAGCACCTGTTGTTCCCTTTGTTCAGGAGAACCGGTTGCTGCCCTGGGCCTTAGGTAGCTAGCTCAGTGGAAGACCCAGTCCCTTTAAGAATGGGCAGAGTCAATATTCCTGCTGAATCCCTAAGGTTTATTGGAGCTCAAGCCTCACTCTGGATCTACATCCATGTCCAGCCCAAAATCAGACTCTGAAGCATGCTTCAGACTTCCTCCTGTTCACTTTGACTGTGGTCTATGAAAGGCCCCTCGTGGAATCCAGATGAAAGGCAAAGCCCAGACTCTGCCCCATGACAAGTGTCAGGAGGAGGCCCCAGGAGCAGGTGATGGGAGTGGGGGAGGTACAGCTGAGCAGCAGTCCAACCCTGCATCCCCACTGTCACTCCCACTGCAGGTGCTGTGTGTGCAGGGCCTGGCGGTAGGCCCAACTGCCCACAGCTAGGGCCCAGCGGCAGACGTCCTCCTTAGGCAGCAGCAGCAGTGTGTCTTCCTCCAGCCGACTCAAGAGGCCAGCCACACCCAGCATTGCACCCCCCCACATCCCGTGAGTGTTGGCCGTGAAAACGGCCACAATGAGGATGGTCACTGAGACCACCAACACCACTGCCTGACCAGCCACAGATCGGCCCTCAGCACCGAGGTGGTCACCAGCCATCGCCAGCACCATGCCTCCTCCGAGGAGCAAGTTGGCAGAGGAGCGGTCCCCATTCACCCAGTGGAAATCAAAGGCCAGAAGGGGTAAGCTGATGACAGTGGCCACCCAGGCCCCAGCGAGACAGTCTTCATCTGTGCACAACCCTGGGGCCAGCATGCTGGCGGCAGCCAAGGCCTGGAGCAAGAAGCCAGCAGCAGCCCCTCGACTTGCCTGTGAACACAGGGGAGGGAGGTGATATTCTAAGCTAGGGGATCTGGGGCTCTCACGGCAGCCTGGCCCCCAGACACATCTGCCCCACCCCGCCCCAATTCCAGGGAACTGGCCTGGGTCCTTGAATTTGGGGTGGGGCTCACAGCCCAGAGGAAGAGAAGGCCCATGGAGCACCTGCCCCTGCCCCATCTACTCACCTGGGCAGTGTACACAGCTGCATGCAGAGACACCACTCCAAGCACCAGGTGGGAGAGGACTGTACCCCATTCTCCCCCAGATTTTGGGGTCATGGCAGTGGTGAGTTTGATGAGGTACCAGAGAGGGGGTCCTCAACTTTGGACAGAAAAAAAGCACAAAAGCCAGCGACCTGGAGCCCAAGGGCCGCTCTCCAGGACTGCCTCGTCCCAGAGCCCCAAGTATTAAGTGTTGGGATAGGTTCAGCCCTCAAATTTCTGGGCCCTGAGGCCCCTAGGGGAAAACAATATTTGGCCAGGCAAAGAGTGGAGGAAGGGGCGCGAGGTCTGGGCAAGGTGGGCATGAGCCCTGGGGCTCCAGAGCCCAAGTGGGAAGGTCGGGCCAGAGGAGAGGAGGGCCGAGGGACAGCCGGGGCGCACCTGCTGGTCTGATGCCTGCGCTTGGTGAAGCGGGAAGGCTGGGCCGCAGGCGCGTCCTTGGAACTCAGGTCTCTGGGACGTCAGCCGGCCTTGTGCAGTTCCTGATCCCCCGACGCAGCGGCGAACGGGAGGCCAGGCCCAGCCGCCGCCCAGCCGGCCTGGCTGTGGCTCGGCGTCCGCACGCCAGGCCTCCAGATGCACCGGCGAGCGCAGCCACAGCGCCGCCACCAACGAGAGGAGCCGAGGCTAGAGCGGCTGGGGGGCGGGGCGATTGGGAGAGTTACTCCGAGGTTACAGCGACAGGGATCAGTAGGGGAGGAATACGGGTTGATAGAGCAAAAAAAAAAAAAACAAACTCAGTGCCGTGGAGTCGGTCCCGACTCATAGCGACCCTTCTTTGGGTTTCCGAGGCGGTATCACTAGGAAGTAGGTTGCCCAGTCTTTCTTCTGAGGACTGGCTGGTGGGTTTGAACCGCTAGCCGTCTGGTTAGCTGTCAAATGCCTTAGGCACTATGAGGGACTTACATTTTACATAAGGAGCTCCGGTGGTACAGTGGTTAAATCACTTAGCTGCTAATCAAAAATAATGTGCGCCTCAAACCCACTAGCCGCTCCTCAGGAGATAGATGAGGCAGTCAGCTTCCATAGAGATTGATAGCCTTGGAAACTCCATGGGGCAGTTGTACTCTGTGCTATAGTGTTGCTGTGAGTCGGAAAGCACTCGATGGCAGTGCGTAGTGGGTTTACGTCCTAGGCATTTGTGAGCTGGAAAGGACCATTTTGAACCAGGCAAGCATATGGTCTACTATGCAGGAGATGACAGATTGAAGAGGAATGGTGCCACGTTAGTCATCTAAAAGAACATTTCAAGATCCATCCTGAAGTACAACATTGTCAGTGAAAGGTTAAAATCCATATACCTACAAAGAAGACCAATTAATATGACTAATATTCAAATGTACACACCAAGCACTAATGCCAAAGATGAAGAAATTGAAGATTTTTACCAATTTCCGCAGTCTGAAATTGATCACACATGCAGTCAAGATCATTGATAATTACTGGCGATTGGAATGGGAAAGTTGGAAGTGAAGAAGGATTCGTAGAAGAAGGATGATAGAAACGATGCCATGACAGAATTCTGCCAGACCAATGACCTAGTCATGGGAAATAGTTTTTCTCAACAACATAACAAACTAGTTCAAGTTCAAGCTGAAAAAAAAATCAAAACAAGACAATTTTTTGAGTATACCCTACCTGAATTTAGAGACCATCTCAAATGATAGACTTGACACCCTGGAAACAAATGACTGAAGACCAGATGAGTTGTGGGATGACACCAAGGACATCATACATTAAGAAATGAATGGTCATTAAAAGACAGGAAAGGAAGAAAAGACCAAAATTAGTGTCAGAAGAGACTCTGAAACTTTCTTTGGAATGTAGAATAGCTAAAGCAAATGGAAAAAGTAATGAAGTAAAAAAGCTGAACAGATTTCAAGAAGACTATTATAATGAAAGTGTCAAGACCTGGAGTTAAAAAGGGAAGAACACCCTCTGCACTTCTCAACCTGAAAGAACTGAAGAGAAAATTTCAATCATCAAACTGCAATATTGAAGGATTCTATGGATAAAATGCCAGAAAATGAAGCTGGATTCAGAAGAGGGCATGGAACGAGGGCTATCTTGACTGAAAGCAAGGAAAACCAGACAGACGTTTGCCTGTGTTTTATTGACCGTGCAGAGGCATTTGACTTGTGGATCATAGCAAATTAAGGGTAACATTGTTAAGAATGGGAATTCCATTAATGGTGCTCATGAAGAAACTGTACATAGACCAAAAAGGCAGTTGTTAAAACAACAAGGGTACACTGCATGGCTTAAAATCAGGAAAGATATGTGTCAGGGCTGTATCCTTTCCCCATACTTATTCAGTCTGTATGCTGAGTAAATAATCCGAGAAGCTGGACTGTATGAAGAAGAATGTGGCATCGGGATTGAAGAGAGACTCGTTAACAACCCAAGGTAGCAGGTGACACAGCCTTGCTTCCTGAAGGTGAAGCACTTACTAATGAAGATCAAAGATTACAACTCTCAGTATGGATTACATTCCAACATAAAATAAAAATCCTCAAAACTGGACGTCATCATGATAAATGGAGAAAAGATTGAAGTTGTCAGGTATTTGATTTTACTTGGATCCACAATCTGTGCCCATCTAAGGGCAGTGAAGAAATCCAACAATATATTGCATGGGGGAAGATCTTCAAAAGACTACTTTAAAACGTTAAAGAACAAAGATGTCACTTTGAAGACTAAGGTGCACTTAACCTAAGGCATGGTATTTTCAATTGCCTCATATGCCTGTGAAAGCTGGACAATGACTGCAGAAGGATTGATGTTGGCGAAGAATATTGGAAATGGCATGGACTGCCAGAAGAATGAGCAAATCTGTCGGGAGAAGTACAGCCAGAATGCTCCTTAGAAGCAAGGATGACAAAACTTCATCTCACATACTTTGGACGTGTTATCAGGAGGGATCAGTCCATGGAGAAGGACATCATGCTTAGTAAAATAGAGGTCAGCAGAAAGAGCAAGAAAACCCTCAATGAGATGGATTGATACAGTGGCTGGATCGGGGGAGTCAAACGTAGCAAAAAATTGTGAGGATCTCACAGGACAAGGGCAATTTCATTCTATTGTACATGGGTTCACTATGAATAGAAATCCACTAGACAGACACCTAACAACATGTGAAAGGAATGCTTTGGAAGGATAGGTGATGAGGAACTGGGCTGTCACAGGAGGGCCCTGAGCAAAGAGCTGGGGAGGAGAGAAGGGGTTTTGGGGAAGAGACTGGAAGGAGCGGAGCGGTCTGGGGGAGGCCGGGAGGAGAGGCAGGGCCTGGGGCGGGGCCTGTGGAAGAGGAGGGGCGGGGCTTGAGGCGGGGCTGGGGAGAGAGGAGGGGCCTAGGGCGGAGCAGGGAGAAAGGGAGGAGCTTGGGGCGGAGCTGGGAGGAGAGGAGGGGCTTGGCGCGGGCAGGCAGGCAGGGACTGGGAGAGGAGGTGGTGGCGCTACCTCTCAGCAGAAGGCTTTAGGAACAGAAAGCCACCGGGGTCTCCACGGAGGGCGGGGTTGGGGATTCTGAGAGGCGGGACCTTGGGAAGGGGCCGCGAGAGGTGGGGCTTGGGGCGGGGCTGGAGGAGGGGACGGATTTCAAAGGAAAGGAGGGTCTGGAGAGCGGGATGTGGAGCGGAGAGGCCCCGCTGAGGAGCAGCACACCTGTCAGAGGGACTTTGGGGTCCCCGCGGAGGGCGGTGTTCCGAAAGGAGGGGGCCGAGGCCATCTCGGTGGGAGCCCTCTGCTGTGTGGGGAGGGGAACGTGGAGTGGGGCTGTGAGGACCTGCCCTCGGGCTGCGGCCCCCGGACCCCGTCCCAGGGCGCTCTCCCCGCGCCCCTCCGCCGCGC